TAATTTGAATTGTTTATTTATTTGAATTAATTGTTTTATTTGTATTATTTGAATTATTTGTATTATTACATCTGTTATATTATTTATTTGTGATTTTTGATTTAATGGTGATTTATTTTGTCTATCGTAACTTAGGGATTACAGTTATAACTTTGGCTTATAATTCACGTATAGGTGAGCCGCCGTAGGTTAGAACTTAGATAGTTTCATGGGCCGATTAGGAGGGGAATTAGGGCTTGGTCTCTAAATTAAACATGGACTAGGGTTACTGGGATAAACCTATAAATATGTGCATTACCGTGGTTTAGGGTTTGGAAACAAAAAAACCAGAACAATATAACAACGTTCTGTAAAACAGAGAGATAAAGAGATACAGAAATACAGAGAAAGAAACACAGAGTGGAGTTGAGTGTTATACAGAGTAGTTCAAGGAGGAAGGATCGTGGTTGTATGGAACTATAGTCTAGGATATTAACAGAACCTTCAAAGACGGTGAATTACGGTTTTAAATCTGAAACTCAAAGGCAAGTCTCTGATCTTCTCTTTCCCTTTAATTCATGTTCTGTGCATGCCTAGTTAGACTCCAGGGATTTAATTAAGGCTAAAATAGATTTAAAACAACATAATAACATGTCTTTTATGCATACATGAATTTTGTTTAATCTCAGGAATTAACTGTTTTGATAATCTTTGATGTTCTGCTATTTGTTTCTTCTGTGGTTTACGATTAAGTTTTGTTTTAGTTGAGATTAGTAATGCGATTAGATGCCTTGTAACTAATCTGGGACTGAGTTTGAACCCTAGAACAAGTTCTTAGAACAGTATTTAATTACACTGAATTAGTCTGAATTAAATTATTGTGACTTGCTTAAAATTTGCCAACAGAGGTTTTGTAATCGTTACTTTAAAACTTGTGTTCCATACATGTTCTAATTGGATATCAGTGGTCTAAAATTTATTTAGGACTAAGATTGAAGCTAGAATAAGAATTAGAACACATTACAGAGGTTCTGTAAATCACTGGAGTTGAAGAAAACGAAGCTAGAATGGACGAGGCTGCTAAGAGGAGGGAGAGAAGGCTCCCAAACTTCTTAGAGCTAGCTCCCAAAGGGGAGAGCTGGCTCTTGGTGTCTTGGAGCCGGCTCCAAGAGCCTAGAGCCGGCTCTAGGTAGGAAAAATGGAGCAGGCTCCCATTTTAAGAGCCTGCTCTCTTTCGAAAACACTGCAATGTGGGTTTTTAAGGACTGTTTGGTTTTCTGGGTTTATGCACCTGATTTAAATTGTTTTAAATGATGTGTAGAACTGTATAAGGCTGGTATTATGGTGGAAAAATATAAATTCATAATTGGATGGGAGATTAGAGTAAGAAAAACCTAAGAGAAAACTGGTAGCTTTCACACTGTTTTGTTAATTTTATTTAATGGAATTTGGCAAGGTTTTTATAAATAATCTGATTATATATAAATATATATTTTTTCAATGTTATAAGTATGGTGAATTAATTATATTTAACTGTGCTTAGTTTGGATTTAATTGATACATAAATTGTCATAATTGTATCGGTTTATCGACTGTTTTGGAGGATTGGAACGCTATAATTTATTTTAGCAGATTAAATAATTGGAGCTTGATTTTTAGGGTCTGTAGTGAATACCTAAAGCCGTTATATATGTATTAAACTGTACTGATGCATATTTTGGAGAACTGTTGATAAATTAATTAAATATTATTTTTATCAATTATGTGGATTGGAGAACTGTATGCACCGGTATGGGACGGTGGCATATTAGGAATGGATTAGTTCAGATACTAAATCCTACCTAAAATGGATTAAGGTGTGGGATAACCATAGAAGTTAATTCCAACTCCTATTAGTGTCAGGTCAGTAAATAACTGAATGGCATAATTTGGTTTTTTGGGATGGATAGTAATACATATATCAAGCCACTACAACAGTTGGATGATATTTTGTATTGGAATGGACACGGACTTTATATACTTATTATATGGTGCCATGGTATGAGCTTGAGTCTCAGGACCATGGTTAGGGCGCGTATATCGCCTAGGATGGATAACTGGACATAGGTGTTATTCCCTGGTAGGTCTAGGTACACATGACCACGTAATGTGCGATTTGCATGGTATCTCTACTCAGGCTGAGACAAACCTATTGGACTAGTGAGCGTCCTATAGTGTGTAATATATACATATATGGACTACTCTAGATATTGTTGAGTCTATCTAGGATGTATCTGCATATCGGATTCCTGTTTTGATCGTAGTAGATCAGGACTTGCATGTGGGCCTGACCTACTCTTTTATTTTTCAGGTGCTAGTCAGTTCCAGGGTTAAAGGTTGGTCGTGCAGAGCAGATACAGACTTCTATTCCACCGACTACGTAGGACTGCTTACTTTTTAGCTTTGGATCATATTTCAGTTATTTCATTTACAGTTGGGATTTTTATTAGGGGTCCACTAGATGGATTCCCGAGTTATGAATTAATTGGAGGTTTTGGAGTTTGGATTTTAATAATTATATTTTAAGGATTTCCATTAGAATTCAATTCAGCTATTTTTTTTATTTACTTCTTATTATTTCATCTTCTATTCTGTGTTCATTAAAGTATTAATTGTTTGATATTTCCCTCGGATTTGGGCTTGGGCCCGATTAACACGTGTCTCGGATTCGAAGGGTATCACAGTTTTTCATACTATTATTGCCTGATATGGGATAAACAGTATAATGGGCCTAACACTTCTTAAGCCCAAAATGGAGGGGATTACTGCAAAAAAATGTCATTTGGCCGCTGGGCTTGGGTCTAGCATTAGCTGACTACCCTTTGTGCAGACCCTCTTTGCAGTATGCTAGTGCCATGAAGTAATCCTTAAAAATAAAAGAGGTTTTTCGTGCTATTTTATGTCGACGTGAGACAAAAATAAGGTATTTTTTAGGAAGTGACATTTTCTATTTATAATTTATAACACCCAATTTCGGGGTGCTGGTATTCCCCTCAATTTTATAGAAAAATGTAACTTCCTTTTAAACTATGACTCGATAATCTTACTTCCTTTTGTCGCTACTTGTTGAGAAAGTTAAAAAATAAAACTATCCCACATTGGGAAAAGAATTATGTGTGGGTCATCTTATATGTGCGAGAGAAGTATTCTTCCTATTGCAATGGGGACCGTCGGATACATGGGATCTTAGATAATCAAATGAATCCAACACTCTCTATTTTTGTTAAGTTTATAAGACACACACTAACTTTTGTCACATAATATTTCCATGTATCTGGATTGGGAAGGTAATAAACTGTAGTACAACATATTTTATTTATGGGGGCCATATGTGGCCTAACTTTCTAGAAAGAAAACAAAGGAAGAAATGAATTGTGGCCTTTTATATTAACGGAAGTACCTTTTGAGATTGGTAGCATACCAAGGTCGCTTAAGTATCCTCCGTTGATCTTGGCTAGTTGTAGGCTCCTTCTTTTTTTCAACACCTCAGCAATCTTTTAGGATTTGACTCAACTGAGCTGCAACTTCTTTCACGCACATTGCTCTTGCTTTGACATCCAGCATAGTTCTTGACACAGGACTGCTGATCTCTTTATTGTAGTTGATGTTGGTACGATCGAGTTTTATTGCTGCTGCGCTTCTTTTCCCCTCTTGGAGGTCAAGGTCGCGTTTCATGATCATATACTGATTGTTGCCCCCTGTCATCGATATGTAGATTGGTGAGGCTTTCTTCTTCGACCCTATTAAGTCTTCAGCCTCGGAGTCGCTAATAGTTGTCGAGGGGCTCCCCCTGGTTAGTCCACGTGTAGTTGTTCTGCATGCCCAAAGTGGATTTAGGATAGTCTCATATTTCTTGAGCCTCTTTGTCAAGCAATCAAAGGTTGCCCAGCTCGTCCATTCTTCTGTGGGTGACCTACTTCGACCAACTTCTCTTTGGCTAACCCATCCTTTTCTTGCCTCCTTGTGCTTGATAGAGTTTTAATCTAGTTTGTATCATGCATGGGAGGTGGTCTCAACTACCCCTCGATAAGCTTTTGTTTCCCACCCCCCCCCCCCCCCCCCACACACTTAATGGCCCCACTTAATGGTCTGAGTCCGTCCTAGATCAAACATAAAATGATAATAAATAAAATTTCACAAATAAAAAGAATACTAAAGTTATGCGTTAAATTTTGAAATCATACGTATGCATATATATTATCTAAAATATAATGCAACTTTAAGCTACTTTAACTTATTATAATGTTAAAAATTTCTGAAAGAAATTTTGTTTAAATGCTGAAAAAACAAAAAATTGAAATTGGAGTATCAATTCCAATCCAATAAAATCCCAGTATGTCATGTACCATGTCCAAACAATTCAAACAAAAATAAAAAAATAATAATACTTAAGAATTTCATTAGGGAATTTATGTTTAGTTCTCATCACTAATGTGAATCAGTAAAAAATAAACAATATCTTTTTTCTATTAACAAATTAGAGATAGTGTATATAGTCACCATATTTAATTTGATAAATATATATATATATCTCATTATATCTAATTTAATAATTAAAAAAAATCATATTACTTTTATTAGTCTGCATCAACCAAGGGCGGTTACAATTTCACCCGTGGGACTCTAAGTAATGTCCAAAATAAAATTACCCTAGCTTAACTTAGTACGATCAGCCATGAATTTGTCTCCTCGTACCATTACAGAAAAAGAAATCCATTTATAAATGAATTTGATTTTGGCGGTTATAGTTGATTCATAGAATTGTGTGGATAAAGATCACGTCACCTGTTGACTGGCCTCGTCACCTGAAATAACACATGGCAATGACCTATTAGGTTACAACTTAGGTGCCAAAAACAGCTGGCACCACATCAATAATATCCCATTTTGTTGTGTTGGAACCGTGTCTTACATTATCATCTCTCTATATATATTCATTTTCACTTCATCAAACCCACTACCACTTAATTTTTCAACTAAAACTTCTACTACTACTACTACTACTTCCTACTACTAGTTCATGGAAATCCTTTCTAATTATTCACCGGAATCATCATCTGTGGTGTCTGATGGCTGCAGCACGGGCCGTGCCAATTATTCCGACGAGGAGGTTATGTTGGCTTCGAGTCATCCGAAGAAGCGAGCTGGGCGGAAGAAGTTCCGGGAGACTCGGCACCCAGTGTACCGGGGTGTGAGGCGGAGGAACGGCGGGAAATGGGTGTGCGAGGTCCGGGAGCCGAACAAGAAGTCGAGAATATGGCTGGGGACGTTCCCCACGGTGGAGATGGCTGCACGGGCCCATGACGTGGCGGCGCTAGCGCTGAGGGGCCGCCGGTTGGCTTGTCTCAATTTTGCTGACTCGGTTTGGCGGCTGCCTGTACCGGCATCGGCCAATGTTAAGGATATCCAGAAGGCTGCAGCGGAAGCGGCAGAAGCTTTCCGGGTGTCGGAAGACGATCAATCCAACGAGGTTTCCGGTGATGACATGAGGCCGGAAAGAACGATGACATTGCCGGAGAAAGTGTTGTTCATGGATGAGGAGGCGGTTTTCGGCATGCCGGGATTGCTTGCAAATATGGCTGAGGGGTTGATGCTACCTCCACCTCACTCTGGTGGATATGGGCACAATGAGAATGATGACATGGAAGCTGATGCTGAAGTGTTCTTATGGAGCTATTCAATTTAATTTGCTTATGCTGAAGTGTTCTTATGGAGCTATTCAATTTAATTAATTTGATTCAATTTATTTTGATTTCATTGGTTGTAGTGTGTTTTGGCTTGTTAGAAATTTTAATTCGTACTTAATTTTTACGAGTACGGATTTGTAATTGGAATATTTTAGAGGAGATTGTTAGTTTACGTAGTTCATTGCACATGTATGTTCTATAGAGAAATGGGTGTAATATTGAGAAAAGAAGAAAAATGACATTTTGAGTGAATATTGCTGTGTACTTAACGATCAAAGTCTGCTTGCTTCTTTCAGTATATAGAAGAATGGTTGCTATAGATGTTGCCAAATTCTAGCTAGTTTATGTCATATGAATATATATATATATATACACACACACCTTGTGTGCGTGTGTGAAAAAGCACATTTGCTATGTGTTTGTGTGAAAAGGCTGAGGCTAAGTTTGTCAGTATTTTATCCTCATCCTCACGTTACATAAAGGAGAAATTTAAGTCAGAGAGCGTTGCTCTTGGGAACGGAAGCAACATCCACGCATGTATTGAGAAATTTGTGGGACTTAGTCCTGTCACTTATTTTGAAACATCTCAGCCACTAAATATACCTATCACCCTTAATTTGCTTTAATCGTTATAGTATTTGTAGTTAATACAACTCAAAATACATTTATCTAACGGCATTCAGGCGAAAAAGCACTTTGATGATCTATAGTCCTTAGAAATATTCTTCCATTATGATTATATGTAGGTTGGATTTTTAGCCTGTAACTTTTAAACAGCATACATAAAACTAATAAGGTCTACCGTAATAATCAACAATCAGCCTATGATGTCCAATGTAGTCTTTTGATTTGGATCGGAACTTGATGGAGAATGGACCGTGAGATCTAAGATTGCTCTAAGGTTTTTCACCAAAACCTCTTTTAGCCATTTTTTTTTTTTTTTTTTTTAAAAAAAAAAAATTCAAAATGTTGTTCTGAAAAAAATATTAAGTAAATCTAAGCTTAAGTGTATGGGCTAAGTCATTTTTACTAGGAGCCTTAAAAACATTTTATTTAACTTTAAAGCTTAGATTCTTGTTTTTAATTCCTAAGGGTTGAGCTTTTGAATTATCATCCGACACATATTTTTCAAGGACCTACCTCTCACCAACCCCTTAGCCCATTGGTCTTGAAGATGACCTTCAACTTTGAATTCCATTGTCATGAGCTTGATTAATATTTGAGATTGAACATTTAATTCCATGAATCTACTTTGTACTTGAGTTTTGTATCATTTCCTGAAAATCATCATAGTCAAGTAAACTATTAAATTCTCACATTAATAGGCTAGCTGTATGCTTCAAAATTACCAAGATTTCCTTGGCTGAAACCTTGGGCTCTACGGTTTCTGCTTCATATGAAACTGAAACTAAATATAGAAATTGTTGACGTACAAAAGGACGTTAATGTCCACATTTTATGTCTTTGAGTTTTTTTAAATTTATTAATTTGTATAATATACTATATGAATTTTGATTACTACAATATTACTAAATTTGATGCGTTTCTGGGTGCAATGGTAAGGTTGCTTCATTGTGAACTAGTGTTAGGGAAATGGATATTTTAAAAAATTAGAAGATGGATTTTCATCGAATGATCTTAATCCAACTAATCCACTTGGAGGCATCTGGCCTATGATAGCACTAAGCCAAAAATAAGAACAACTTTCAACTTTCGAACTTAGCTCAGCCAACCACACTTACTGTCTACACACACACACAACAAATACAACACTCTCACACACAAAGTATAGTTGCAAGAATGAAATGTAAATACTTGTTGCGAAATTAGACCTCCTTCTTTCCTAAAGCTTGCAATTTAAAGGTTCTCTCGCCCCTTCATTTTAGGGTTCTTTAGAAGAGAGGGCTTTGTTTTATTTGATGAGTTTGGTTATTTGTTTTGTTTAGGAATTCTGTTTATGTATTAATTTTAATTTTTATTATTATTTTTTTTAATAAAAAGTTCACTCCTTTATCCTTAACTGAAATGGTCATTTCTTATTACCATGGACCTCACCTTATATATTATACTACCTCCGTCCCATTTTAGATGTCGGCTTCGGGATATGTGACTCACAAATCTAGAAACCGACATCTAAAATGAGATTGAGGAAATAATCACAATAAACGTGATCAATTTGTGCCCTAAAAAAATCGCACTGTAGGGACAGCTGGGTTAGGAACAACGGAGGATTTGCGCTCATCAAAATACCCAAAATTATAGAATTTGCAGCGTATCAATAAATATTCGAAAGTTCGAAACCTTATATCACTAGTCAGAATTGAACATCCATGAGTTAGTCAAACCAGGATATCCAATTGTCCCCCATAACTTGCCGTTCGTACAAGTCACCACCATGCCATCTGGACCCACCAATTTTCTGTTTGGTTACCATTAAAATATAAAACAAAATCCAGGAAATAGTAACACACTGAACTGGACACTTCCACTTTGGAAAACGCCACGTGGTCAGCACATTTAGTTTATAGGGTTAATTACAACGTCATTCCCTGATGTTTGCTATATTGACAGTCATATACAACTTAATCATTTTTTGAACAAAGACACCCCCTAGGTTTATAAACTTGAATAATGACACCTCATTTTAAAAAAACGGAGCCAAACACAGCCTTAAGTGACATGAAATGTCTAATATACCCTAAAATATATTTTAATCCTCACCTAAAATGACCAAACTACCCTTGTATCTCATCTCTCTCTTTCAACATCTCATCTCTCTCTTTCAACATCTCATTATCTCATCTCATCTCTCTCTCTCTCAACCCAGTTCCTCCTCTTCTTCCACACCCTCCCAATCCGTAAATCAAACCCAAATTTCTCTCTATCTCACACACACAGAGAGTATCTCTCAAACCCCCATCTCAAACTCCTAATCTCGATTCTTGCTCGCCGATTCCATGTCGCAATTCCTCTCATGGCCGAGCCCTTCACCGGCTGAGCCGCCCGCCGTCATCGAGTGTCGTGGAGCTGGGTTTTAGATTCGTGTGATGGGTGACTATCTCGATTCGGAAAGCACTTTTAGGACGACGCCCGACAAGCAAAATGGAATGCTCAGCCGATGGAGAGCTTGACTGTGGATGGCTCGGTCGTGGAGGACTCGCGGTGGCCAGTGAGGGCTTGGCTGGTGAGGGCTCGGCCTTGTTTAAGACGGCCTTGGCTGTGGGCGATGGGAAGACAGCCTCGGTTGTGGGCAATGGGCTGTTAACACTGAACACTGGTGGATAGCTTGGTTGGATAGAATCGGCGGCAGTTGGCTCGATTGACTTCGGAACGGCGATGACGGGCGCGATTGACTGACAGCTGCGGTGACGGGCGTTGACTCGTCCAAGTTGGACTCGGTGGTGGCAGAGCTCGGATGCGGTGAGCGAGGTTGGTTCAGCTTGGCGGCAGTGGCGATGGCTATGAGCAAACGATGAAGGAATGGACTGCGGTTATGGATGGCTCGGATGAAGGCAACGGCGGGACGGTGATGGGCTCGGCTGTGGGCCTGTGGCGGCTTGATGGACTGCGGCTATGGATGGCTTGAATGAGGGCGACGACGAGACGGTGATGGGCTCGTGGCGGCTTGATGGACGGCGGGGAAGAAGGGATCACAGAATGAATGGGAAGATCAAAAAATTGGAAGAAGAAAGGATATTTTGGATGAGGGTAATTTGGTCATTTTACATGGTCAAAGGGTAAACATGTATTTTCATCATATTTGGGGTGTCATTGTTCAAGTTTGTAAACCTAAGGGGTGTCTTTGTCCAAAAAATGACTAAGTTGTATATGGCTGTCAATATGACAAACCTCAGGGGGTGTGGTTATAATTAACCCAAGTTTATACTATGAATCCAGCTACCACGCCTCTAACCGGCGACATCTGTCAAATTCGTGTCGACAAACGATTGGTTGGTTGTTGGTTCCTACATCATGAATAAAAAAAGGTTGTCTTGTCTTGATGCGACAGCTCACACCTATGCCTCGCTTACAAAACTTCTTAGAAATTACTTAACCACTGCTATATATTTGTTACTCGTATTTGTCATTCCCTGAGTGTGGATTTTTTATTTTTTTTTTTTGAAAGATATTTCTAAAGTGCAAAAATAAATCAATTAACTAATATTAAAGAATGAAATAAATATACATTAAAAAATATATATCTTAAAAAAAATTAAAAATTGTGGTCCACTAATATTTCATCTACCTTTTAAAAGAAAATTCAAATTTCAAATTTCTTTAGAAACAACAAAAAATCATAATATTCAAGCCTACTAATTAGATCTATTTATCAAAGTGAAATAATTAAAGTTATTGATAGTTTAAAATGTGATTCCACTATAGACCATATTCATTTAGAAAATTGTTATCATCAAGAGGACGCAAAGTGGACAGTATATATATATTATATAGCACGAGGAAGAATTTTAACATTCGATTACACAATTTATCTAAAATTTGAAAAATTGTGAGTTCATTAGGTGTTTTTGGATTACCCATAGTATCTAAAATTTCAAAATTATAAGGTACTTTGTTGAACATAAGATGATAATAAATATAATTTCACAAATAAAAAGAATACTAAAGCTATGCATTAAATTTTGAAATCGTTTGTATGCATACATATATTATCTAAAATATAATGTTACTTTAAGCTACTTTAACTGATTATAATGTTAATAATTTATAATATACTTCAAGCTGCTTGAATTGAAAGAAATTTTGTTTAAATGTTGTTCGGAAAAATGAAATTGGACTATCAATTTCAATCCAGTCCAATCCCATGATGTCATGTATAATGTCCAAACACCTCAAATAAAAATAGAAGAATAGTACTTGGGTCTTAATTAGTGAGGTTATACATCGTTCTCACTGTTGATGTGAACTAACAAAAAATAAACATTGTATTTTTCCATCACTCAAGCCTGTAACTCAAGTGAGGGCATTAAAGGTGGTCGGAATTGGGCTTGGCCCAGACGGTAAGGCTAGTGGTGTGTAATTGCTTGCTCACCCGCTCCAAGTAAGGAGTTGGGTCAAGTACCTTCGGCTTCTGTCGGTGGAAGGATAACGAGTTAGTACTCTGCAAGTCCATCAACACCTGATGAGCCACTCTCTATCTGACGACCATCTTTTTTATAAAAAAAAGTGTGACGGTGTTGCCCGAGTAGTAAAAGGGCCCAACCATAAAGTGTCCCCCACCCTATTG